GCAGTTTGTCGTTTCAAAAATACAACCTGGCTGTTTTTATAGTGACATCCTGAAGAATTAGCTTCTGGTTTGTCGTTAGAATTAGTGTTTTGATGGAATAGAAATCACTTTTGATTTTTATTTCTTATGATAAAATACATAGTTTTAATACAGCCCAAGGTGGCCTTCTTTTTGTTTTAGACTCTTGTATTGTTCTGTGCTTTCAAAAGGTGTTTAGGAACTGTGGAAGTTAACTTGTTTTAATTTACTGCCAGGTGAGTGCCTCCTCCAGGCTGCTTACAGGTAGCTCCTGACAGGCCCGGGATGCTTAGGGCATGGTCACTGTTCATAACTAGAGCAGCCTTGAAACCAGCCCTTGAAGTGGTAGCAACTTCCTCCTTAAAAGCAAAGAGATAATCACAAACACCACGGGGTCTTTGTTTTTCCTTCTTTTTTTCTTTCAGTGTTTCTATGAAGAATTAATATGACTTCAACTTAAAACTGGAGGTATAATGTGTATGTGTGTGTGTGTGTGTGTGTGTGTGTGTGTGTGTGTGTGTGTGTGTGTGTAGAAGGTGCCCTCATAAGCTAAATACACCAAAGAGAGTCAGCAGATAATTTCAATCCGGACTAGGCTGACTCTGAGCAGACATCGTGTGAGTCCTTTTTCAGAGGTGTAAGTGTGCTCTTCACTTTATTGCTGCCTGTCGATTTCCGAGGATTTCCTGAGTACTTATGCCAGTGATGAAGATGGAAAGAGCATACACTCACAGACATCAAAACTCATTCCTATGTGCTCTGGCAGATGGGGTCTCCTCATCTGAGTCCCCTTCCCAAGCATGCTCTTCTTTAGCTAATATTAGCACCATTTACAGGCCATACCTGATTTGGCGACAATGGAGACATTAATCAGATTTTTATAAATCTACCTCATTTTTAAATGGATAATTCATATGCAAATTAGGAGGTTTACTATATAAGTATTTGGATTAAAAGGTACATATTTTATTTTGAACTACATGCATATTCTTGTCTCTCAAATGGAAGAGAAGATGATCTAGCTATAGAGAACCTTGAAAATGAAACTCATGTTAGTATGTATGTGGGCACAATGTTTCACTACTGCCCATCCCATCTAAGCTACAGAAAGGATTTTTTTGTGTGTGTGTGGATAATGTAGATAGTTAAGAAAGACTGACCACAGATTATGAGACTGAAACTATTTCAATATATATTCTATATAATTTTTTTTTTTACAAAAACAAACCAATATACTGTCCCTAAGTATAAACTTAGAAATGTAAGTAGGTAGCATTGGAGAAAAGAGACAGAACCTAAGCAACAACTTAGTCTTACACAAGTATATTTAATAGACATCATACTACATACAAATCTTATCCCCTGATCACCTGCAGAGGAAATCATATGTACTGCTCTGCTGGAGGAGAACTAACCTCAGTAACCAAGCGGGTCTTCTGTAGTTGTGAGGAACTGCATGGTGAATTCTGTAGTTGTGATGAACTGTATAGCAGACCTTCTGTAGTTGTGATGAACTGTATGGCTCTTTTTGCAGTTGTCTCAATGCAGCCTGGAAGCTCCCACAGGCAATCCATTTCAGAGCTACCATGAAGAGGACTGTATTCAGAGCTACCATGAGACAGGACTAAAAGCTGGAGAATGTATTGAGAACATAACTAACAATTTAAAAAAGATAGATGCCCTAATATCTGAATTTTAAGATGTTATTCAAGTATTTCCAAAAGTTAATTATAAAAACACTAGCAATCTTTATATTTTCCTGTCAAACATTTAAAAATGTTTAGTGAAATAGGCATAAAAATTGACATTTGTTATAAATTTATACTTTGTGAATAACCATGGCTTTGGGAGCCTATCAAGTGACATTTAAGTTAGGGTGCTAGAATTGTAGGATTTTAAAGTCTTGATTTTTGTATTGTAGACTTTTTTGTCTGCTGATTTTTAGAGTTCTTTATGAAACTTATCTCATAAACAGGTGCTGTACAATAAGTGTTTAGGCCTTTAATAGTTCAGATGTGACTGTTAAAATGTCTGTTACCAGTCTCAGAACTCAAATGTAACACACATGGAAAGTTTTTGTAGTTGTCTGGAATATTTTAAGTTATAAGGAAATATTTAAAAAATAGTCATATAATAAAGTTTGATAATTCTTAAAAGACAAAAATGTCTGTCTCATTGTATTAGAAATAGGTATTATTATTCAACATGGTTCCCAAACAGCAGCATCTCTGGAACTTTGGAATGTTTGAGTCCTGGACACTTCCCTATTGACTCAGTATCTCTATAGGTGAGGTTGGAACATGTAACTCAAAATACAGCAAGAGAAGTTAAACTTCTTCTGTATGAAATACCCAGTGCTATAGAGGAGTAAAATGTGCATCATACCTCAAGGATAGGATCCCATGAACAGTTTCAGTGGCTGGCTGTATTTGAAGATAAAATGGTGGGCCACCTGAGAAGATAAAAGCCACAGAGCAACACAGAGGTGGGTGTTAGAAATGTAATGTAGGTTCACAGAAAAGAGCTGACACAAAATTACCCTCAGAATGAGCTTTGGTAGGAGAGAGCCTCAAACCATGGACAGCCATGAGCAGGCCTTGCAGAGGGAGAGTACTGGGAAAGTAGCTGCATGGTCACACAATAAACTCTGAAAGGACAGATAGACAGACAGACCCTTCAGGACCAGAGGACAAAGGTTTCTGACTCACAGATACTGAGACAGGTGGGTAGGTTTCATCCCTGTGATTCTGTCTGACCTATCCTTCATGGGACAAACCAGGAAGCTCTGATGAAGACCAGCTGTGACTTAAGGTTGTCCCTGCTCTAGGAAGTGGGAGCTGATCCTGCTCTCTGCTGCTGTTGGGAGGGAGACTACAAGGCCACAGCACAGCCTGCCTTGTTCTCAACTCTTCTAGAGAGAACTGCAAGGAGGGTGTGGCCTGACTCTGAGACAGAGAAAAGGAAGTGTGAAGGGCTGTAGCCCTTCAGGGAGAGAAAGGGGAGCAGGCAAGTAACCTTAGTAAGTGGAGGGCCATGGCAGGGTTGTGGGGGTGTGGGGGTGGGGATGAAGGGAGTTAAGGCTGGACAAAGCAGGCAAGATTTGTTCAAGGAAGACCTTGACATCACAGCAAAGGGAAGCACTCTATGTGCAGGAGATTCAGTGTGTCTAGAATGAAACACCCAAGCTGACTTGGAATCAGATCGTTCTGAGACTGGCATGCATGAGAGGGCAGCAGACAGACGTTACTGTGCCAGCCTGTGCCCCTGTGTCTCAGGGAATCATTGCCCTGATGTTACCTCATATTGTCAGCTTCCACATCAAGAGCCTTAGGGTTGCCAGCAGGCAGCCAGAACTGGCAGGTTAGGTGTCTGCACAAAGTCTTATTAAACTCTCAGCTGCCTGGGAATAATGTACCACAGCAGCAGAGTTTTAAATGGCAAAGGGTCTCTGCATGTCAGGGATGTTACAGGTAGATACTTTCATTTGTCCTCCATGAAAGCTTAATATCATTTTCATCTGATCAAGTCAACTTATAGACCTCATTACTTCAAGTTCATCGGGTGGCTGGAGCAGCTTCCTTTATTCTATCTGCTCTCAGAATCCTGTTGGTGAGGAGCTAATGCATTTTTAACCAGCTCAAGCAACTGAAAGGCCTGGTCTGTAGTGCATCCAGACAGCTGCTGCTAACTGTCTGAGAGCAGTGGCTATGGCAGGAAACCCCATTCTTTGTGTAGGTTCCTAGAGGTGAGGGCTATATGTGTTTCCACTTTATGACCTCCCCGCCTAGGCTATAGCAAAGTCCCTGACTTACATGTTGACAGTTATCACTTTCATATTGATTTGACAATCTAGCAGGAACATTGGCACTTTGTGTACTTCAGTCACCTTGAGTGTGAAGCTGTGGTGTTTGTTTGGCCAATTTCAGTGAGTCTCACTTACATCTGTGGTCAGCTTCTAATCTGCTTGGCCATGGCTCCATTGATCTTTCTAGGCTCCCTCACTTTTCTGGGAAGCAGACAGATTCTTGGTGACCTAGAGCATCCTAGGTGGGGAAGTCTGAATTTGACTCTGCTTCATATTTCACTTTTCCCTCTTGACCCAGGCTAGCCCAGGCTTGTCCTCATGGAGGCATCCGAGCAAGAAAGAGCCTCACTGTGAGACAGCTGATAAGATATTAACAGGCTTGGAGGACAGAGGGTAGACCCCTTTCCCTCATAACGTGCAGGATGTAAGCCAAGGACTGGAGCAGCAGAGTTCTAATTGCTGTCTTGGGCCCTGGGAGGAGGTGTGACATCCGCAGCTGCCCAGAAGGTCATTAATAGATAACTAAACCTGGCTCTGGAGCCCCACATCTTTTTTTTTTTTTTTTTTTTTTTTT